CATTTGGGGAAGGGTAGTAAATAGTATAGTTAATATAGTACTAGTTTAAAAAATGAGTTTCCATACAGGAGAGAGTATCACCAGGTGTAATAGAGAGCAATTTTAATTTTGAGGATAGATTAACTCAGTCAATTGAAAATTAACATGGTGTTAATGAGAATGAGTAATACTGAACATAACAGGGACTTGATGTTTCTCTGTCAGTGGCAGCTTGACTGGTTTTTGTGGGTTGATATTCCAGAAAAGAAACTACTTTTTATTCAATATCTGCTCTGTCAAGCATCATGAGAAGTATCTTCACATATTATCTCAATCCACAGACCACTGTGAGATAGTAGTACATCCATTTCACTAATGAAATTGAAGCCCCAAAGCAAATAATAGTATTGTTATTGATTTTATAAATGTACACAGAATCACTAAAGTGATTAGAGCCAGAAGGAAGCCAACACCTTTTTTACTTCTCTGTTCCTTTTACGAATGAGGAAAGTGAAAGGTAAAGTGATTTGACCACCCATTGCTAGATAGCTGGGACTAAACAAACATTCCTTATTTAAAATACATATAAAGTATGGGATCCTGAGGTTACCACACTATTCATTAGTTAACAAATAATAGCACTGTTTGTAGTTGGGGCAAACAAATTCTTTAGATAGAATTTTAAATGTTTATCTCAAATCTCCCAAAATAAGAAAAATGTCCAGATACCACACTCCCTTATTAATATGGCTTAGTGTAAGATACCTTCTAGGGACCTGACTCTGCCATATCAGCCATTAGGGTAAGGTCATATAACTAACATTTTGAATAATCATTAAAATGGCTTTGCTCTCCTATTCGTAGGCTTGGAAAAAATCTAAAATTCTTTCGGTTTAATCAAAGTCTTTCAATTTGGTTAAATCAAAGTGTTATATTTGCAGTTAATAGGGATAAGCTTTGAGTCCTTTGTAACAATCAGTTTCTCCAAACATGTTTAAACACACAGATCATTCTAATACATGTTGTATTCTGATACAGAAGTATTACTTTGTGTGTACCTTTAAGTGGGGGTAATAAGGACCACTGCCTATACAGATCAGTAAAGCTTCTATACAGCCTGAAAATGGAAAGGGAGAGGCAGCAAAAGGACTCTGAATGTGCCATTCTATAGAAAGTTTGCAGCATTTACATTGCAGCTACACTGATATATAAAGGGAGCTGCAATCAGTTTCTTACGTCCATGCAGATAATCCAGTTCTTTCACATAAAATACTTACTGTCTTAATATATGGGTTCATTGCCAGTAAGAATTATTGTTTGTTAATACATGATTGATGCTTTTGTTTTAACCAGGATCTCTTCAAAGCATCAGTTTCATTCATCCAGTGCCTCACTAGCTGGTGGGAGTCCCTTTGAGAAGTCCCCAGTGTGACCACAGGAGCCCATCCACAGGCCCAGGGAGGATCTGGAGGCTTCATTCAAACGGCCTGAGTTCTCAGCTTGGCTGAAACTCGGACTAGAGGAAGAGGAGATAGCTCCTCCTCAGTGATTCCCAAATCTGGCTGTTAATCAGAGTCATTGAGGAGCCTTTAAAAATACAAGTTCCGGACCGGAGGCCAAGGGGCGGCCAGCACCATGTTCGGCTCCAGCCGAGGTGGCGTGCGCGGGGGACAGGACCAGTTCAGCTGGGAGGATGTGAAGACCGACAAGCAGAGGGAGAACTACCTGGGCAACTCGCTGATGGCCCCGGTGGGCCGCTGGCAGAAGGGCCGTGACCTCACCTGGTACGCCAAGGGCCGGGCGGAGGGCGCAGGGATGAGCCGAGAGCAGGAGCTGGCAGCCGTGAGGCAGGCGGAGCAGGAGGCGCTCATGGCGGCGCTGGGCTACAAGAATGTGCGGAAGCAGCCCACTGGCCTGAGCAAGGAGGACTTTGTAGAGATCTGCAAGCGTGAAGGTGGTGACCCCGAGGAGAAGGGGGTGGACCGGCTCCTGGGCCTGGGGAGCTCCAGCGGTTCTGCAGGCCGAGTGGCCTTGTCCCGAGAAGACAAGGAGGCGGCCAAGCTGGGGCTGCCAGTGTTCACGCACCACGGCGTGGACAGCAGTCGGCCCGGGGCCTCCCCAGCTCGGAAGAAGCCCAGGCAAGAGGAGAAGGTGGAGCAGGGTCCCCAGAGTCACAAGAAGAGCAAGAAAGAGAAGAAGAAAAAGAAGAAGCACAAGAAAGAGAAGAAGAGAGAAAAGGAGCACAGAACCTCACAGTCCTCGGCTCCGGCCAGGGCCCACCATCGCAAGCACGACTCCAACTCCTCCCCCAAGAAGAGGAGAGGGCATGACAGTGACTGAGGTCCAGCCACCAGGACATGCCCATCCCAGGCAGGCCCCATCCTCAGTGAAGCCTTGGAGCACGTGCCCTGCCAGGCCCAGGCTACTGTAGGGCAGGCTAGTGGGGGCCCTACCAGACCCCTGTAAGCAGACAAGGTGTCCAGGTGAGGCCTCACCCTCAGATGGCCCCAGGCCCACCAGAGGACACACACCTGTCCAGGAGGTCCACCTGCCTCAAGCTCCAAGTACTGTTACTTCTGTTTTTCCTTGTGTTGACTCACCCTTTGTACTTAAGCAAACTTATTTTAAGCTGAAAATAAAAAATACAAGTTCCTGAAGGTTATACACTGGTAATTAATTTATTGAGCATATATTTATTGAGCACTTAGAGTATAACAGTTCCTATCTAGGTCCTGTATACAATTGATTGATTCCTTGAATCCTCACAACTTTATGTGGTAGATACTACTGTTTTGAGATGAGGAAATAGACCCACTGTGGAGTTGTTGCCTGAGCATTTGCAGCTAGGGAATGGCAGAGCTAGGACTCAAACTCAGGCTGTCTGCCTCTAAAACACACATCCTTAACACTGGGCTGCTTCTGGGTCAGTTGAGAATGTGACAGCATCCTTTATCTCTATTTCAGATCTTAGTATACAACTTTTTGTTATATTGCACTGGTTTGTGTGTGTGTGTGTTTATATATTTTTATTGATTTTAGAGGAAGAGAGGAGAAATACATACCAATGATGTGAGAATCACTGATTGGCTGCCTCCTGCATGCCCCTCACCAGATCGAGCCTGCAACCTAGGCATGGGCATGTGCCTTGACCAGGAATTGAACCGTGACCTTGTAGTTCATTGGTCAATGGTCAATCACTCGGTCACACCGGCCGGGCTGAGCCAGTTTTCAGGAGTTAGGGATGGTGGTGGGCATTAGGTGTAACTATAAAGGGGTAGCCCCAGGGAGCTCTCTGTGGCACTGGATAAGTTCTGTGTCTTGATTGTGGTGTCAGTCATGTGAATCTACACGATAAAATGACAGTACATGTACCAATGTCAGTTGCCTATTTTAGTACTGTACTGTAGTTGCATAAGATACGCATATTGGGGAAACTGCATGATTGGCACACAAGACTACTATTTTTGTAACTTCCTGTGAGTCTATCATTTTTTTTTTAAGTATACGCCTACTTTTGGCAAGCCCCAAGTAAATTAGAGGTCTGTCTCTATAAGATTGGCTCAAAGAGACTTCATGTTTTTGTTTTGTTTTTTTAATACATATTTTTTCATTGATTTCAGAGAGGGAGAGAGAAAAACATCCATGATGAGAGAGAATCATTGATTGGCTGCCTCTTTCCTGCACATCCCACACGGATCCAGCCCGCAACCGAGGCATGTATGTGCCTCTGACCAGAATTGAACCCAGGAAGGACCCTTCAGTCCGCAGGCTGATGCTCTATCCACTGAGCCAAACCAGCCAGGGCCAAAGAGACTTCATGTTTGAAGACAAATCTAAGGGCAAGAAAAGCATAATAGCTCTGGGCAGGGCAGGAGCAGAGCGGTGATGGCGGTAGCAGCTGAGCAGGGTCACCACTAACAAGCATGTCACTGACTATGAAAAGAGGGCTGCAATGATTGCCAAATGACTAGTGCCCAGCATTTAAATAAGAACCTTTGGGGAGAGAGCTAAATGCACAGAATCCCTGTCTCACACATCTTAGAGACTCTTGAGTAGGGCAAGGACAGGGTCCAGCAGTCTTGTTGAAAAAGTTTCCCAGGTGACACGGGTTTGAAAATCTCAGATTAAGCAGTTCTGATAAAGCTGGATCCCCAATAACATTTCAGGAGTCAACCACCATGGGGACTGCAACCCAAGCCCTTGGTTGGTATGGCTCAGAGAGAAGCATACTATTCATGTCATATAAAAACATCCCACCATAGCCTTTTTTGAATGCTAAGTATGAACAATGAAATGTAACAATTATTTTTTTCTATAGTCTCTCTTGTTGTTTAATGTTTCTCATGGTAGATAATGTAGTTACAAAAACATAATTACAAATACTTTAGGATTTGCCCTGGCTGGTGTGGCTTAATTGGTTGAGCGATGTCCCATGCACTGAGAAGTTCCCCGGTTTAATTCCTGGTCAGGACACATGCCCAGGTTGCGGGCTTGATCCCCCGTAAGGGGTGTGCAGGAGGCAGCCAATTGAAGGTTCTTGTCCATGTTTCTCCCTTTCTCTCTCTCAAATAAATAAAAAACATATTTCAAAAAAATATTTTAGGATTCAAGGGTCATTCATTAGGTACTGCTATAAATTAAGAATGACTTTGGCTACAAGTAACAAAATACACAACCAACATAAACAGGGCTCTATTTTTCTCATATAGTAAGAAGTCCAGAGATAGATAGTTTTGGGTATTGGTTCCACAGCTCAAGAGTTGGGACTGACATCTCTGAAGTTTTCTTGGCCTTTCTTTTATGGTTCTAGCCTCTCTGCATTCAAGACTGATGAAAGGCAAGGATCAGGACCACTGGCATTCTACTCCTGGCCAAAATGGTATCCCATGACCACTCCTGGTAGTAAAGGAGGCTGGGAAATTGAGTTTTGTGCTTTTATAGTCTAGACGGCAGAGGCAAGAAAGGGAAAAGGGGAAATATTTGGTTTTGGGTGAACCAACTGCTACTGCGTCTGTGACAGCTTTCAAATTACATTTTATCAAGCATGGTTTAATTAAATCTAGAAACAGCTGATCAGATACATAATAAACTCAGAAAATATTGATTTGAAAATCAAGCATAAACATTTCCACTGTCGATAATTGTACATTGTTGTATTGGTCTTTCATTCTCTGTTGGAACCAATTCTAGTTGTTGAAGAATGTCTGTTCCTTCAATCAATTGCCTAATATAGGAGAAAAAGTGGAAAATTTAATCAGTCATACATTTCCACATTTAGCTTACATTCCTAAATTGAGTCCTACCCTGCTTAGCTAAGGATATTTCCTACAAATTAAAGTAACATCAGTGATTAATGAATAGTTCTAAATGTGTCCGGATTGTCATGGTTCCACATCCATCTGGGACCCTTCCAAATCTGTTATTCTCACTACCATCAGGGTGAAGTTTGAAAAATGCAAATCTGATTTCACCTCCCTGCTTAAAACACTTCCACAATTTCCCATTATGCTTATTATAAAACCAAAAATCTCTACCTGGCTGGCCTCCCCACACCTCTCCAGGACTGTCTTGCAGCATGCGCCCCTTGCTCTCTGCTCCAGCCAGACTGGCTTTTAGTACCTCAGTAGCACCTTGAGCCCTTTCTGTCACTGCTGTCTCCTTTGCTCTTGTCCCCACCACCAACCCCTATGTCTGGTCAATTCCTGGCCTTCCTTTAGGTCTTAGCTCAATCATTTCCTTGTGGAAGTTTCCCAGGTCCCTTTATAGGAATAATCAGGGGTAAATTTGATATTTACTTGAATACTTCCTTGATTCATTTCTGATTCATTCATGAGGGCAGAGATCATGCCTTTGCTGAGTGCACAATACCTAGCACATAGTAGGCACCTAATCAACATCCATTGAATACATGAATAAAAGATACATGAACAAAGTCACCATGCTGGTTTCAGTATCTGTAGACATTCACTGGCCACAAGCTGGAACTCTGAGTGGAGCTAATCTGATGGTTCTCTCAAAAAGAGAGACAGTCCTAAACATGTGCTCTCTACCAATGCTTGTATTGAGGCATGGCTCAGGGGAAGGTCAATTTCCATTTTATGAACCTTCATAGGGACATGGTCAGTGCTGACACTGATCATGCTCTAGTCATCTTTGTCTGCCTCTGGGCTCTATTTTTGCCATCCCAATCAGAAACCATGACAGAGCAGGACACAAGGTACATTCTGAGGATGAAGAGCAGGGGAAAAGAGACAGATTCACCTCTGTCCAAAAAGAATGTGAAGCCTCTTCTCGAAACTGGTTTCACAAATACTGAAGGAGCGCCTACTCTGTGTACCTCTTCATTGTTACAGGTATTAGGGCACAAGATGAGACCCAGTCCCTGCTTTGTGTTGTTCACAGCGTGCCATAGAGGACAACCAGTTTCATTTTCGTAATCAGAGAGGTTCCTGACCTAAGCCTGGAATTTTGGCAAACTGAAGGGAGGCAGAATGAACAAATAAGCAAAGGCTCAGGTTGTTCTGTGAATGATGGTACTCTGGTCTAGCTTATAGCTCAGCTGCCATGTCAATAGCTGCCAAATCCACGCCTCTACACTTTGCCAACTTGAATACCTATTTCTGGGATTCAGGAGTTACCACCTGTCTGTTGTATCTTAATCCAAATCATAACTTGTCCATCCTGAATTCATGATCTCTCCCATATCCTTTTTGTCTTCTCTAGCTTGGTGAATGGCACCAACCATTCAACTAATTCCAAAATCCTAGGAGTTCCTCTACCTTCACTGCCCAAATATGGGCATGTGTGGCTATTTAAATTTAATTGAAATTAAATAAAATTTAGTTCCTCAGATGCATTAGCCACATTTCAAGTGCTCCAATTGCCAGATGTAAACTTTGTGGTTAAAATGTAAAATGGCATGAAGTTTCTCCATGGGATGAAGAGTTAATATCCCTATGGAGTGACTGGAATAATCTAATACTTATTCAGAAAAATTCTAACACTTCACATCATTTCAGGGGGAAAAAAGTAAACTTCAATGTATATTCACTTCAATAATCAAGTAGCAATATGAAACACTGAAGTGATGAAAAGTATATTCATCCATTTTAGGTCCACAGGCCTATAAGCATCTTACTAATAATCTATATATGAAAACCCTGGGTGGTGTTCATCACGACCAGACCAGAACTGCGACCAAGCGGAAGGAAGTCAGGGGTTGTCCTGCAGGGGTCGTCCTGGCAATGGCTGCGCCCTCCCCCAAGCTGTTTCCCAGAGCTGTTTCCTGTAAGGGTGGGGTTTGAGGCAGGAACCCACCCTGGGAGCGTGGAAGCAGATCTTTATAAAGTGTGCTGCACCAGCACAGCCAAGGGTGAACCTGAGTCGGGGCTGCTGAAAGGCTTAGAAAAGACAGACGAGAGAATGAAAGCCGGGTCTCGGTGGGACGCTGCTTCTCTGAGAGACAGCGACCATGCCCACAGCCATGCCTTTATTTTATAGCAGAAGCTACGAGGCAAAGTAAGGGCATGACCAAGATGTTACAACATTCTCCTGGATTTCAATCCTACTCAACTACATGCACCTGAACTCTATCAAGCCTACATCACTCAGGCA